AAAAATATTGTTGAAAAAAGAAATGTTGGGGGGGGGGGGGGCAGAATATTTGGGCCCAACCGGTATGGCTCAGTGGTTGAGCATGGACCTATAAACCAGAAGGTCATAGTCCGATCCCAGTCAGGCACATGCGCAGTTTGCTGGCTGGATTCCCCAGTGTGGGCATGCAAGAGGCAGCTGATCAATGATTCTCTCTCATCAATGTTTCTTTCTCTCTCCCTTCCGCTCTGAAATAAAAATATACTTAAAAAAATATTTGGGATAATGGAGAAAGCTATTTGTTTATAGAAGAGAGAAAAAAAACCCTCATAAACACTAGAATTGGCAGGAGAAAAAAACACTTCATTAGGTTTCTAGCTGTTATATTAAATTTAGCTGTCATAATTAGAGGAAAAGGGACCATGAAAGAGCACCCAAATAACAGAGGTCAGAGAAGCTTAATGAGTACTCTCTTTCATTTTAAAAAACCTGGGGAAACAACACCTGTTTCACAGAACTAGGTCAAACAGCTCTATTAAATTAAATGAGGTAAATTCTTCCTCCCCTTTCTTTCTAAAATGGATTTCTGCTTTCAGTCCCAGTCATAGGTGGAATACTGTCACAGAATTTGAGTCCTTTTTGTGGTCTTCCTGAATCTCATTACAGGGACTGGGTGTATATATTCACCTGGATCTAAAAGACTAGTCCCAGCCCTGGTTGCTTTGGCTCAGTGGTTAGAGCACTGGACCAACGGGTTCAGGGTTCAATTCCTGGCTAAGAGTATGTACTTCAGTTGTGGATTGATCCCCTGTCCAGTCGGGGAGCATGTGGGAGGCAACCGATCAATGTGTCTCTCTCACGTGGATGTTTCTCTCTCCCCTCCCCACTCCAACCCACCCTTCCATTCTGTCTGAAAATCTGGAAAAAAAATACCCTTTAGTGAGGATTAAAGAATAATAATAATAATAATATGCCCTAACCGGCTTGGCTCAGTGGATAGAGCATTGGCCTGCGGACTCAAGGGTCCCAGGTTCGATTCCGGTCAAGGGCAC